CTCTTCTCTACCAATCCTCCTTTTCTTTTGGATGATACTGTGCTTCTTGTTAATTTCATATCACCTAATTGATTTGTATCTATTTTTTTTCTTTTTTCTGCTATGTCCACATCAAACACAGAAAGATTTTATAAAAGTAATGTTAATAGTACCATAATAACTGTACAGTACTCTGTTGAGTACTTACTGTGTTCCAGGGAATATGCTAAACTCTTCCCATTGAGGAACTCATTCAGTCTTTGCAATTGAAGGCTGTTACCTTCTCAAGTAGGTGTTATAAGAATGTCTGTTTTCTACATCAGAAAATTGGATAGAGAGAATAAGTTTGCCTAACAATATATAGTAAGTGCTGCAAGATACTGAGGTTGATTACACAATATTTTTCTTCTCAATGTCCTTGGAAAGTAAAGTTGCCTCTGATACTCCTTAATTGGCATTATTCACTCTTTCCTTCATCTGCACTTAGAAATTTGTGTAAAATGTTGTTGTTATTTACCCAATTTTGTTTGATATATAGTTATTTGTGTATATGACTAGATGATCGATATATATATAATTAATGTATTGTTTTATTGCCCTGATAATTCATGCAACAACTGACTGATAGCAGGTACATTCTTAATGCATGATAATGAAACATCAAAGATATGTCTACAGGGATGAAGACAAGTTGAGAGAGTTTTTTGGATTTCTCAGAAAAGGAACCATAATTTTAAACAGTATCTGTTTAATCAGGTTACTTAAATGATTTAGCACCATTTGTTAAAGAGATTTTAGCAAATCTTCTAGACGCCACTGAGAAATAGCCACACACTTAGTTTCTCATAACGCACACGAGAAAACATTATTTCATTAGAACTATTCATTCCTCGGTGGTTCAGTGATTTTTGCTTTCTGGTTAGAAGGTCAAGTTCTTCCTTTTAATTACATGGAGTTTGGTTAAGGACAACTGTACAGACAAATCAAATATTTGAGGTGTCTCTCTCATTAATCATAGAGAAAATTTAATCCACAAAGATAATCACCAAATAAGTCATTTTAAAAACTGCTATTGGAAATCGGTGACTGTGATCCAAAATTGCAATTTGAGAAGTCAAAATATTTGTGTGTTAATATCTTCTTAAGAAAGTCATTCCTCTAATTAATTTACACAGAAGATACAGTTTCTAATCACAAATAAAGAAATAGAGGTAGGGTCCTGTAAAATGTCATGTGTGGCAGACACTGTGCACAGGACTTAGGAAACAAACCCAAAAATATTGCCTCAAAATATTTCAGGAGAGTTAAGGTAAGACTACTTCTTGCATCAAATTTATTTGGGTAAAAATATTTGTTGTGTGTGCTCATTGTGTTTATTTTGATTCCTGTCCTTTATTCTCCAAATCATGTTGATCTTGAGGTTAGTTTAATTCACAGAACAAATAGCCTGGGGGCATCCTCAATGTATAGTATCACCTAAAAATAGATTCCAAAACAAACACGTGGTGTGACTGCTGATCAGAGGGCCCAGGAGAGACCTCTAAGGTGACTCCTATTGGGAGGACTATAACCAACCAACCATCTGCTCAAAGTTCTTGCTTCATGGAAAACCACCAGAAGTCAGTAGACCTTCACTCCTCCCTGCCATGTCTCTCTCCCTATTAAGTCATTTAAAAGTTAACAATCCAAAGGCATCAAGAGTATAACCACAGCATAAAGGAACAGAGGTTCAGCAGACCAAAGCACAAGCCTTCTCCAGCACTCCATGGGTCCCTTTTCACCAAGAACTTCTAAAGAATTTTTTACCCTACCATTACTTTCAATACCTACACTACTACTTTCTGAAGTGAATTACTGGCTACCCTGAAATAGCAATTGAATACTATATAACAAGGCTATTTTAAAAGTACAGTCATTTTACTCCAAAGCTACTAAACCAACATGTTTGCTTTCTTTGACCACATTTATTTGTGTGCAGTTTAAATGAGTTTCTGTATTACTTACATTATTCATATCATTAACTTGATTTTTTTTTGTAATTTATATGCACTTTCTAAACAGGAGAGACCATGTGCCAGGAAATTAAACAGCTCTTTTTCTTCATTTTTTTTTCCTAAAACTCTATGGGGTTTACCAGTAAAACAGAGAAAAATGCTTGGCTTTTGTGTAAAGTAAACATTTAGCTTTCTTTCAGGACAAATAAATGAACTCTGATTGGGGCCCATTGATGTTCACTGTGATGAAATTATGGGATTTTGTGCTTCAGCGTCTAAAGTTGCTTGAGAAAAGGTGAGGAGGAGGAGCAAACAAAAAGAGAGCTATTTAAAAGGCAGCATTGTTTTCTATTCAAACATTTCTATTTAAAAGGCAGGATTGTCACTGTGGGCTAGATACCATTAAACCTGTTCACAACACAGTCAAAAGACTACCTTTTCACCTGCAGCATTTGTTTCAGTGAACAGATTACTTTAAAATAAACTGAACTTCAGACCTATTGGAAAGAAAATAGCAAAGTATGAAGGCACTGCACTCAGAGAAAGAGATGAGGAAACAAATACCTTTTAGCATTGAGTCTCCTCTCCATATTCCCTACACTTTGGAAAGAGTTTGACGATAAAAGACAGGTGACGTTACTCAAAGGCTATAGAAAAACTAGCAATTACCACCCTCTGCTAATGCACCCAGCATGTGAAATAAACATGTGAAATACCATTTGCTTCACATACAGGACCACTGAATAAGAAACTAAGTTAACAGAAGTCTTTGGCGAGGAAGCCCAATGTCACAGGTGGCCATGGCTAAGCCAGTCAGCTTTTCCCAGCAGGACAGTAAGCTCATCCCTACCAACACAAGTGTCCTTTCAAAGCTGCTCAGTTTAGGTTGTAATCTGTGAAATAACCATGTGCCTATAAGAACTGCTAAATATTGTACATCCAATGGCCTTCTGTTGGAGATCTTTAAAACATATTCTCTTCTTGTGAAATGGCACTGATAGTGCCACATTCATTTTCATATTTGTTCGACATCACAGGGTATTCTGGGTATCCAGTAAAATGAATTGCTACGTAGTAATCACAATAATAATAGATGCTATTTATTATGAACATTTCATTTTTTTTAAGCCCAGCATTTTCTTCTGGTAAAATTTAATGACCCAGTCATAGTTTTCACATACAATCAGCATTGCAGAAGTTTCAAAGCTAAAGTGAACTAGACAGCTATTCCAGTTTTTGTGGTAATAAGCGTGTTAACTATGTTAAAAGAAATGTATCCCTATCAAAATCAACACTTTCGTGAAAGGAAAAGATGATGGCTCTTTGACCTTGTATTAGATAATAGACATTAAACGTTTGGAAGCTAGAGACTATATAGTTTTTCATTCAATTAAATTATAATATCTTTAAAAAGCAAATGTACTTTTGGAATTCCAGAGATATTCACAGTCTAAAATCACTGTGGGCTGGATTTCTATTGTTTAAATATTTACTATTTTATGCATATGTGTTGACTGGCATCCACTTAAGGGTCCAAAGTTAGAAAATTTCCTTTCTCTAGAAGACTAAATCACAACTGAGAGTGAATGGTAAGAATTTAAAGTATAACTGTGATGCATAATTTGTATTGAACTGTTGAGAGCTAACTACAAATATTAAAATAGGCTCTGTATTTAGAGCAACTAATTATAATACTGGGAAGCAAACTGGTTTTCTTTAAAACCATCTGTACTTTGAGTTGAAGTGACAAGCAAACCTTAGAGAAATGATGAATCAAACTCATTTCATTTTAAACTGGCAAAGTCACCTAGGCTTTGTTCACAGAGAAAGACTAAATTTATCAATTATTGATGGTAAATGAAATCGTCTGTACACTAAAAGGAAAGTTTGGCTACATAGGCATAAAAGAAGGTGTGTAGGTAGATTAGAAATGGAATCAAGAATTTTACAGCCTTGATTTGTAAGACAGTAAGTTTTCTTCACCCTGTTCAATTTCAGAATTAGAAACAACCCTGTATCTCCACTTTATTAGCCATCAGATGCACAATCTAATAATGTTTCTATTCATGTAGATTTGAAAGGGTCTTCATCCTGTGTGGGTTATTTTATTTTATAGTAGCCAAGGGAAAGAGGTTGCTGCCAATATGATGCTAAGGGCATGCAGAATAAAGATTCAGTCCTGGGCAACTAAACAGTCCACCTTTGTGCTGTGCTTGTGGAAGAGGAAAGCAAACCCATCACAACTTTGGGACTTGATCAGCAGTGGGGAGTCACAAAACTGTCCTCAATCTCTGCATTTTAAATCTCCACTAAAAATAGCTCCTCTGTAATGGGGCTTAAAGTCCCTTCCATGGCCAGTGATGGAGTACAGTACTTAATTGTTTCTGACTAGGGTCTCTGCATCAGCACTCTGAGAGTGTCTTCTAACTTTTAATCGCCTTCTGTGCTCTTTAATGAGACCTGTTCACAAGACAGAAGAAAACGCCTATCACTAAGCCTGTCCAAGACGTTGAAACAGACCACTTCAGGAGTCCAGGAACTTTTGTACAAGTCTCAGCGTCTTCCAGGATTAATCTGTTTCCTCTGTTTCCTTCTTCCTTAAATCAAGCACACCTGGGGGAAGGGAGCAGCTCTATGGCTATTCAGACAACTCCAATGTAGAGACACTGCCTGGTGTCAGTTCCCTCCTTGTCTATTTCCGTTCTTTATTTTCTTCTCTTGCCGCGTGTTATCTGTTGGCTACTAATAGAACCTGAGGGAAAAATGTCTTTTCTTTCCGTCTGAAGAGGAAGCTCTTGATCCCCTTTCTGAGAGCAATCCTAAGACTTTCTCCAGGGGGCTGGGATAACTAGAAAAGGGCTCTGCTCTCTCTGAAGGATTTCACAGCCAAAGCCTTACAGTGTCCCTCTTGCTAAGGCGGGAGATGCAAACAGCTGAAGTGCCTTGACCCCCACTGGTGACCCACAGTAAACCAACCTCGCCCCGGCAGTGCCCCTGGGCTCAGGTCACTCGCGCTCCTGGACTCACCTGGTGCTGAGGACCAGCGCAGGCAGGAGAGGCAGCAGGTAGTGCGCTGGGCTGAATTTCATGCTGCTGCCTGCCGGGGTCCTCCTTCGCTCGCTGCCTTAGCTCTCTCTCCTCGGGATCCTGTCGCTCCTCGGTGCCCGGCTCTGTTCCCAGCCAGCGAGGAGCCCTCTTCGGCGGCGGAAAGGCGGAGACGGACCCACGGACGGACGCCTGGTGAAGGCAGGCGCTGGGAGCGAGGAATATCTTCAGGAGTGATGTCACCGGCGAGGCGAGCCCTGCCCGGGATTGTTCGGCGCTGCCGCTCCGGAGCCCGGAGGGCGCGCTGTCACTCGCGCTGGAGGCGGCGCGGGGAGAGGGAGGGGGTGCCTCGCGATCGCCCCGCGCGCTCCAGTCACCGGACTGCGCTCCGGCCACTCGGTTGAGCACCGGCCAGGAGCTGATCATTTATTCCCGCGGCTCCAGGGGCTGGCGAGGGGCGGGGCGCGGGGAGTAGAAAGCTAATCTGCTGGTAATTGAACTTGCGTACTCTGCAGGAGATGAGACCCAGTTCACTCGGAGAGACTTACAGACGCGTAGGGTCCTGGGCAGGTGTCTCTCGTCAGCTTAAACCGGGTTTGGAAGAACGTCGCTGTGGAGAGAGTGTTTAGAACGTTGTTCTAATTAGAACTGCATAATGATTTGCCTGACACAGATGGAAGGAAGCCGGAGTAAGCAGCGTCCAGAAATGCACTCTCAGCCCGTCATGGCATTGGAAGCTTCTTAACCCGTGAATGTCGACTGCAAAGAACCAAAGAACGTTTCGGGACCGTTAAGACATCTGCCGCTCTGGGTTTTGAAGCTTTCTGATCTTCCTCTGATTTCAGTCTGTCTTTACCAGCAGCTGCCAATGTGGTTGAACCTAGTGGCTCAAGTTCACACACCTGAAGGAATCCTTTTCCTCGGGTGAAACTCATCAAGGAGACCTAGCAGAAAAAAATCATTAAAATGCTAGCAGTAATCAACTCGGAATGATGGTACTGGAAGGCAGAGGATTTTGTAGGTCATTTTGTTTTCTATATTTTCAAATGTTCTGTAATAAACAGCAAATATTTAATAAGCTCTATTTAGAAAATTTAATTAGAAAAATTAAATAGCAGGATTCCAATAAAAAATATCCATTTGCAAAAGCAATTCTGAAAAACAGAACTTCTGCTACTGAGATATTTATTCTAGGATCTTTATAACATAATATGTTTCGTGTGTGTGTGTGTGTATCCCATCAGGATATTATCCTAGTTAAATAACTGTGTAGAAAGCACTTCTTCATACATTTTAATTTAATCTTCATAAGAGCCATCCTAGTGAAATAGAAGTTAATATTACCACTAATACAGATGTGAGCAGACTGAATGTCATCAAAATCTGGCTAGCTATATTAAACAACAATAACAACAACAAAGAACTGGTTCTACTAAGTCCTAAGAAAAATTCCACTGTTGCCTCAAACATCACACCTCGCACTCCTAGCCCAATGTTTGACACAAAGTTGTGTTCAGTAAAGGCTAAGATGCACCAAGACCCAAAAGACAACAAACAGCTGTGTCCAGGAATTGCTATCCAGAGGATTTAATTCATATTCCAATTATTTCAGGGGCAAGTTCTTTACAGAAACATTTAGATAATACATCCTCTGTAATCTCATTTTTAAGACATTTGTAGAAAAAAATGCATTTGCTGTAAAGCTTTATTTTAAAGAGGATGCAAGTCTAAAAGGTTAACAATCTAATTTACTGATTTGTTTTTTTAAATGGGATTGAAGGTTAAGACATTCACGTCAACTAGATTTGCTTTAAAATCCCGACCTGCTAAACTAGATGAGTAATAAGTTTTGAAAAGTGAATATTAGCCCCTTGGGCAATAATAGTAAGAGCCAAAACATTACGGATCTTGTATATACCCAATAAGTAGGCATAGTTTATTTGTATAAACGAACATGTGAATTGCATATCATTTATAAAGAAAAAAAAATGACACCACTCTCCTAAAACAGAACTCTGATTCCAAGTAAAATATAAACTCTAGTTTGCTCCTGCCAGGGCTTTCCAACAATAGAGTTCCTGTTCACTTTGAAGGAGATCACTTGAGTTGTATACTCAACAAAGACATATGGCTACTTGGTAAATTTTTTTTAAATGTGTACACCAGGAAATAACATTCATATTTGTAGAATGCAATATTTTTTATTTAACAACTTTGCATCCCTTATCTTATATCCTAATCGTGGAAACCAAATGTGGTAGTTATTTCTATTATTTTTCTCTTTCACAGTTAAGGTGACAGGCTCAAAGTAGTTAAGTAACTTGCTCAAGGTCACTCAGTGACTTATATAGTAGCAATTCAGTCTGCATCACTTCAAACTGTATGCTTATTCTAGGGAAAAAAATTATACCCATGTAAGAAAACACTTTCCCCAACCAACCTTTTATTACTTTCAACTAGACATACAACATAAAACAACAATCAAATTACCTAATATTATCAATGAATAAAAAGTATCAGAATACACTTTCTTCAGACTGTCTTTATATTGGATATCTATAAAAAGCCACCAAGTTTGTTGGCCTTTGTGCATTTACTGCAAGCCACAAAGAAAACAATTCCCCCAAAAGACATCTAACTTAGAAGGGCATGAGAGCAACGCAGTAGGGAAATACATCTTGAAAGGTGAGCATAAATGAGATTCTCGAAACTCCCGCAGATTTAGAGAATTGAGGTATTATTTTGAATTCAAGTACAGATGTGTCTCTCAGCAGAAGTCTTTTCTTCTAGGAAAATTACAAAACCAGGAATCTTCATCACCCATGACATTCTGTCCACATTGTCACATAAAAACTCAAATTCAGAATAAATTTTGTGGCTTGGGAGAATTGGTAAATGAACTTTTAAAGACACAGTAGTACAGATAGCAATTCACTTACCTTAATCTACTTATCCTATGTGGAGTCCTAACACTGGAATCAGCGAGCATTGTTTGTAGTATCTGCCGAAGTCTGGTAAAGAACATCAAGAAAACCTAAGCAGTTGTGCTGAGTCTCATAAAGTGCTAGGATTAGGGGACATAGAAGCTATTTTAAAAACGGCTTTATTGAGATTTAATTCAGGTACCAAAAACTTTACCACTTTAAAGTGTGCAATTTGGTGTTTTTATACACATCTATGAGATTATGAAATCATAATCATTATATAATTACAGAACATTTCCATCAGCCACAGAAGAAGCCCTTTATCTATGAGTAATCACTCATTGGTCCCCTCTTTATCCCTTCTCTTGACCCCCAGCAGACACCAATCTAATTTCTGTCTTTATGGATTGACCCAATTCTTGACATTTCACTTAAATTAAATCATCCTATATATGGTTTAACGTGAGTAGTCTCTTTCACAATCATGTTTTAAAGTTCATCTCCTTCATAGCATATATCATTACATCATTTCTTATTGCTAAATAATATTCTATTGTATGGATATGCCACATTTTGTTAATCCATCCATTAGTTAATGGATATTGAGGTTGTTTCTATATTTTAGCTATTATGAAAAAAGCTGCTATGCTCATTCAAATAAAAGCTTCTGTGTGAACATCTGTTTTCAATTCTCTTTGATATATACCTATAAGTGGAATTCCTGGATCATATGGCAACTCTGTTTCATATTTAGAGAAACTGACAAACTCTTCTTCAAGATAGCTGCACCATTTTACATTTTCATTAGTAACATAGGAAGGTATCAGTTTCCTTACAACCTTGTTATTTGCCATTATTTACTTATCATTTTATTATTATAGCCATCTTAGCTTATGTGAAGTCTTATCTCATTGTTTTTATTTGCATTTATCAGATAATCACATTGAACAGTTTTTCATGTGCTTACTGGCTATTCATATACATTTTTTAAGATGTATTTGTTTAAATTATTTATTTTAATTAAGTTTTTGAGTTTCATTTTTGGGTAGTAAGAGTTCTACCCCTTAGATATGTGATTTGCAAATGTTTCCTAATCCATGGACTGTATTTTCATTTTCCTGTTGGTGTCATTTGCAGCACAAATATTTTTAATTTTGATAAAGTTCAATTCACCTAATTTTTAATTTTATTATTATGCTCTTGATGTTGTAGCGAAGACATTTTTACATCACACTAGGTTATGAATATGTATGCCTATGTTTCTTCTAAGTGGTCTTTTTTGTTTGTTTTTTTGTTTTTGTTTTTCTGAAATGAAGTTTTGCTCTTGTTGCCCAGGCTAGAGTGCGATGGTGCAAACTCAGCTTACTGCAACCTCTGCCTCCCAGGTTCCAGGGATTCTCCTGCCTCAGCCTCCCAGGATTACAAGCACCTGCCACCATGCCCAGCTAATTTTTTTTGTAGTTTTAGTAGAGATAGGGTTTCACCATGTTGTCCAGGCATGTCTTGAACTCCTGGCCTCAGGTGATCTGCCTGCCTCTGCCTCCCAAAGTTCTGGGATTACAGGTGTGAGCCACTGCACCCAGCCTTCTTCTAAGATTTTTATTGTTTTAGACCTTAAAGATAGGTCTGTGATCCAGCTTTTGTATAGTTGTGAAGGGGAGTCTCAGCTCCATTGTTTGCATGTGGATATCAAGTTCTCCTGTAATTATTTGTTGGAAAGGTTATGTTTCCACAATTTAAAGTCCCTTCTATTTCATCCCTCACAGTGATACATTTTTTCTTATTTGATTTCTTTTTCTACCCTCATATTCTAAACTCTCACATTTCCTAGAATTTCATTCTTAATCCTCCTCTTCTAAAATTCTATACTTTTTCACAAGTTGAACTTACTATTTTTTAGGCTTTTTACAATCTTCAATATGGTATAAATCTTAAAATTTACCCCAGCCTAGAATTCTTCACAGAGACTTTACCTGGGTTTTATATATCCAGGTAAATATTCAATCAGTAAATTCAATCAGTTGAATACAACCTCATTCTTCCTCTGTCTGACCCTTCTTCAATTTATCTCCTTATGCTTCCATCAACTCAGTCACCCAAGTTTAAACCTGACAGTTGTCTATTACTTTTACCTCTAGCTTCTCCCACATGTAATCAATCACCAAGCCCCAGAGATTTTACTTCCTAAGTATTTGTTTACAACAAGTGTCCCACTTCTATATGATACCTGTCACCTGGACTCTAATTAGAGTTAACCATCTCTTGATTCTGAGTGTACTTTTTACTTTAAGGTAGATTTTCCTCAAAACCATTCCCCTTGTATAATCTTATCTAAACTGCAAAGATCGTTATTACCTTAAAGCTCCTAGAAACTTACTCTCAAATAAGAAAAGCAATACATGCCTTTTTTTCTCTCTGTTTAATTTTCATGTTACACTGTAAACACATTAACAGAAATTTCCCTTGGTGTGTCTTTATGATTTTTCATGTTATTCCTTCTTTATGAAGTGTTATCTTACTCAGTGTTCTCAGATATTTACTTTAATCATTTAAGACTCACTTAAGTCTTAAATAAAGACATTGCTTCTTTCTAGAATGCTTTCTTGAGTCCATGTGCACCACAAATTTGGTGAGTTCTTTCTTTTCTGTATTTTATGACCTGTGGCAGATTGCCTTGAGTTGAACTGATAATATTATATTGTAAATAAATTTTAACATTTCTCACCACACTATATATATTTCTTACGCTTTGTTATGCTGATAGTAAAATTATTATTCAAAATTATACATTTATTTATATATTTCCTAAGATAACTACTAATTTTATTCAGATACTTGTAGATCTGGGCATTAAAGAATAAGAAGAGAAAAA